TGGTCATGATGACTGGTATTAGCTTTTCATTTTTTATTCATTATTGACAATATTTATTTATAGTTTATATACATTGTATTTAATTAGTTATTTATTTATTTTCAGGAGATTTTGACAAGACATTTTGCAACATTTGAATATTTTACTTTCTGTTATTTTAGTTCGACACAAATGGAAAAAATAAAAATAAAAATTACTGTTCATTGTGAACAATAAATCCAATGTGTTTCCAGAGTCAATTAGTAATCTGAGTAAATAATTGTGATTGAAATTTTACATTTTTGCATTCGCTGAACCAAATAATCCACTGATACAGAAAAATAAATACAGTGCACTCACTGTGGCTGGGAGAGAAAGAGCTCGATGATGTTGTCCCGTCCTTTGGGATGGTTGAAGAAGACAAAGAGTGACCAGTGGATGAGCCAGGTCCTCTGCTGCAGGGACTGCAGTGGAGAACTAACAGACTGACGGAGGAGAAAGGGGAAGGTTTAGTTTTTAGTATGTGATTGACTTTCTTTCTGGTGGCCTGTAGTTTCCTGTATCACAGCGGGTTCTAGACTTTCTTACATTGTTGTCGATAGTCTCCCTCAGTCTAGTCAGGTCTTCCATGGCTGCTTCCCAGTTCTGCATCAGGATCTCAGAGGCCAGTTTCCCCCACAGAGAACTGAGGGCGTTTCTGTCTGTAGACGGAACCTGAGCGGAACAACAAGAAAAAAAACGGTATTAAGGTCAATTAGAATGAAGATATTTTATTTTAATCAGTCAACCAATCACGAACATGTATTTACACAACATCCCAAAAGTCACCAAAGCGCTTTATGGTGCATCAAATAATGTTAATAAAACAGAAACAAATGATGGAAATTAAATAAGGACAGAGTTAAAACTCTTACCAAAACACGGAAGAAGTACAGGTACTCCGCAGCTCCAGAGTAGTTTCCACACTCATACTGGAACTTGGCGTATCTGTACAGCGTGTCCAGGTATTCTTGACGGAACTATTGTCAAAAACAGGTCAAGAAAATACATTTAACAAGTCTGGAAAAATAACTTGTTGCCAGTGCCAGTGTCAGAAAAACACTGTTTTCTTTTATTCAGGAAGAAACAAATTAACTCTACATACGTTTGGCACAAGTTTAAAATGGCAAATAATCAAAGCACAGGCAGAAAAGTCTGACTGCAGTGTGAGGTGTGAATACATTTGTGGGAGTTTTTTATTTTTTTGTGGATTTTAAGATACTGAGATTTGGAGTGCAGTCCAACACAGATGAGTGCAGTGGGCTCACAAGAGCCACTCAGAATAGAATAGAATCAGTATTGTTTAAAAAAAAAACAAAAAAAAAACCACACAACTTCCCACACACCTTCTGGAGTCAAAATCCACCACTTAAAAACTTACATTGTGTTTTTCTGATAGGTAGTCAAACAGCATCCTTCCATCTCTGTAAACAAAGAAAAACACATTTTAGAGTTTCATCTTTCAAGGTGATTCAAATATCTTTTTGTTGTTGTTGTTCTGACCTGGTGGACTGCATCTGCCTCGTCGTCTCTGGATCTTCGAACATCTTGACGATGGGTTCTGTCTCTGACTGGTGCTGCTTCAGCTGGGTCACCACTGTACTTCTCTTCTCCCTCAGGGCTACAACACAACCACTGTCATTACACAAAGTCTAGGCACAACTTAATGACGTCTGGGCAATAATCTCTATGAAAATACATTGGTTTCCATACAGTGGGGGATCTCCTTGTCCGGGTACAGGTTCCTGTAGACATCCATGGCGAAGTCCACCATGTTTGTGTCGCTGAGGAGGTCCAGCTTTCCCTGAAGAAGTTCCTTCTCATTGTAGATCTATTATAACATAAATAATAATAATTATTTTCAGGATTAGAAAATAGCTACTAGTTAACGGCTAAAACAAAACCAGGGACATTATAGTAATATACAAAATATATTTTTAAGTAGATCTTCTAAAATGATGTCGGTGAACAAATCGCGTAAATGCTATGTAACAATATTCTTAGCTCATTTCAATCGTATTATAATTTTCACACAATAAGGAATAACGGACTAATAGTAAAAGCATAAAGTAACGATTTCCTTTTCATGACAGCAAACCGTTCATCGATTCACATTGACAGAAATAGCAACAGCGAAGCTAAGGCAAAACCAATAAACAACACATTTACAATATATAATTTAATCACGTAATGCTGTGTAAAAACAACTATAATATCGTTAAGAATTCAAACGTTATATTAGGAAGGCGATAACGCAACTAACGACAGGCTAACTAGCACCGTTGGTATCCAGCTAGCATGCTGACAGGACGATTCGCGAACAATTATCCCACATTTTTCCCGAATACACAACTAAAATGTACGACAGACTTGTTGTTTACGGTGATGTAGTGTAAATTATGTTGTACCTCTTTCACTGAAAGGAATTCCAAGAGAGGGAAAACTAAATGCCGGTCCAGAAAATGGGCTATTCTGGTTGTCAAATCGTACTCCGCCATCTTGGATTCCGATCTTTATCGATGAGGCGAGGAATGTCAAGACAGGGCATTAACGCCGCCTATGGGTCGCCCAGACACATTGCCTTTTTTTCACATTGATATTAGAACTCGTGTTTAGAGCTTTGTATTTTCTGTTTCTGTTGAGGGATTCTTTAAAGAACTTAGATATTTTAAGTAGGGCGAACAAGTGTTTTAAACAAAAGGGAAAATGTTTCGATCTAATGTCTACTTCATTCACTTCCAATGGTAAAAAATACTATATTTTAATTGAAAATAGAGAAGAATGCAAAAGTATAGCAACCCATTTCCATTTTTTGAATATTGTCATCAGTATTCTGGTATTCATTTTGGTGTAAAAAGTAATTAACAGCTCTCCCCTGCAGAGGGTACTGCAAAAACCTCCATATATATGGCAGTGTATATGGAAATCATATTTTATTATCAGATTTGCTATTTAAAATACTCAAGATACATTTCTGAAATAAACTGATTTTCTCTATCTCTCTTCCACTCGTTCTGTCATGACAGGAAACATTATTAAAGGACTAATAAATTGCTTCTCTCAATCAGGCCAAACCCACTCTCCCTTTACTTTGATCTGATGTTTTGTAGAATCTCGAGCATCGCAGAATGAAATCTATTAAGCTCTGAAAACGTCAGTGTGCTTCTCTGAGAGCCTCCGGTTCATGAATGCATAATTGGTTTTAGAGCTCAATCTGAGGTGGAGATTGAAAGAGTCATCCCTCCAGGCAGCCAGGAACCAGGTGCACTACAGAGCATTTCTAAATTTGGACGACGGAGCTCGCACAAACATAACCCCACAAACAAAGCAGCAGTGAGTCTCTGCCGTGGTGCCGACCTCCTCTGGGTCAGCGGTACGATCGGTCAGACAATTAGTGGCTGTCAGTGGAGCGGAGAAGAGGGGTGGGTCGTTCTGCCTGGAATGTTTACCAGCTCAAACCAGCTCTAATCACAGAGTCGGTATGAGCCGGAACAGGCTGCATGACTCATATTGTTTGAAGAAGCCAGAGAAATATGACCAATCAACAGGGCAGAGAAGATGGCGAGGAGGAGGAGGTTCACAGCTTTTTAAATAGAAGGAAGTTCAGTTTGGCTCCAAAGTCGTACTAATGAGGAAACAACATGAGAGGGGAAATAAGAAAGGTCTGGAATTCATCTTCAATAAAGGACAAAACTCTATTATTATCTTCCTGTAAAACGTGTCAAACTCAAGGCCCAGGGGCCAAAATGACCGATGGACCAGTACTGGTCTGCAGACCGAGGGTTGAGGACCCCTGATCTATACAGTCTTCCATTTACAACTGGCCCTTCAAGGGCAACTGTATTGCCGATGTGGTGAAAATGAGTTTGACACCCCCCTGCTGTAACACATGAGACGTACAGTACAAATGTCATGGTGGGCAACGCGGTGGAGGAGTGGTTATTGCTATTGCCTTACAGCAATGATTGGATCTTGGATCTAGTTCTGGGAGGGGCAGGTTGAATATATTTAAATTTTGCCACTACGTCTGTCATTTTAAAATTATAACCTGATGATGTCATCGAAGAGCCCGTTACCAAATGTCTTTGAACTTCAGCCATTTTATGAAATCGCCCTTGAGCCCACCCGTCTCCTGATGCTCTGCACTAAAGCCGCCGAAGAGTTAAATGTACTCTGAGTGTCATGGTGGGCAACGCGGTGGACACTTCAAAAACTTCCCAAAAAAAAAACAAAAAAACTGCCCTCTCATCACTTTTCCCTCCTCTGACACACACACACACACGTTTCGTCTGAACAGCCAGGCCATGAATTCTCTCATGGTAGAGTTAATCCACCACATTAAAAAAAATCCCAAAGAAGGGAGACAGAGCCCCCGGTGCTGGCACAGATCCCCGTCCCCCCGTCTTCGGCCACTCTCCATCCTCCCTCCCTCCCCCCTCCCTCTCTGCCTCAGCGACTGGCCGCCGTCCACTGCATTTATGAGACCCAGAGCCAGCTGGACGTGAAGCAGCCACAGAGAAGGAGCCAAGGATTTAATCAAGACACGAGGCCGAGAATAAGACGAGAATAAGACGGCGTCGCCACAGACAAAGACCTGCGGCTGCGGCGTGACGTCTGTCCTCACTGCTCTGTGTGTGTGTGTGTGTGTGTGTGTGTGTGTGAGTCCAACACCTGAGGCTTCACTTTTGTTCTCCTTCCCAAACAGTAACTTCTCATTTCTTCACAGCTGCTCTCACGGCTCAGGCTGCTGGACGGTGTTTTCACCTCAGAGACGTCCAGCAGGGGCCAAAGAGCCTTGTTAGCTGCAGAGCTGCAGTCACCAGGCAACACAGAAACTCAAGATGGTTTTCACACACTGTGGGGAAAAAACAAAGACAAAAACAAAAACCAAAAAACAACAGCTTCAAAATAGCTACAGGTAATAAAAGAAAAATATTTGTTAGGATTACGGAGCTACTGATTCTGACCTTTGTGACTTGTTGTTGTTGCATCTACACACACACAGCGAAAAAGGCACTTTCTTATATCCATTTAGCGAGGATACGTTTCCACACACAGCGAAAAAGGCACTTTCTTACGTCCATTTAAGGAGGAGGGTTTTTTGTGCTTGCTCAACACACCCCCGCTGGTCGGAAGTGGGATTGGAACCGGCAATCTTACACAAAGCATTTTATATGAGGTCTTCTCCGAAACACAATGACAGACGAGTCAGTGCAGACTGAAAAGCCTCGGCTCAGTATCTGTTCAAATGTACTGTACTGTACAATATGACTTTAAATCTGACCCCATGTGGACGGAGCAGGTAGTGCAGCACGTAGGCCATAAGTGGTTGGTGATATACCGTACACTCCATAATGGACTCTTCAGTTAATTACTCCAGGATGTAAAATCAATAGCACTAATGCAGACATTACTGTGGCTCTCCACATATATATATATATATATATATACAGTATATGTACATTATATATGTACATATATATGAATATTGTATGGATGGACCTGAAAGGAAAGACATTAGAACTCAGGGAGGTGCTGGACTCGTGGGTTAGCACCGATGGAGCAGAGGAGACGGAGGGAGGAGGACACACACGGGGGAGGGGGGGGCGCAGGGTGTAAAGGAAGATCTGTGAGACGTAAAAACAGACAGACAGACAGGAAGTCACGGCCAGTCGGATGTTACCCCGCCGAAATGATTCGTCCGCGGACAAAGAGGCCCGGAGGGTCTGGACCAGTCAGATCAGTGACAGAGACAAGGACGAGCGGAGAGTCTGGTTCACGTGTGAGTGGACGACTGGTTTCTCTCACATCATTTTACTGCAACGTATGTAGACAAAAAAAGATAGAATGATGATAAAAATCAAAATATATATTTGAATCTACTGAATGAGACGAGTATAAAGTTAAAAATGACATTTAAAAGTGAGTTAATGATGAATTTGACAAAATATATGGAAACATTAAGGCAAAAAGAAGTAAAAGAAATATGGTGGAAATAAACAAAATAAAACAAGGTATAACA